AGAAAAATAACTAAAACCATACAAAATTAATCAAATAAATAATGTAATATTTATTTTATTTCTTACCAGTTTCTGTTTAATTTCTATTGATTACATTATTTATTTGATTAATTTTGTATGGTTTTAGTTATTTTTCTCATTTTCATTATTTTTTATATCTATTTTTTTCTAAGGTAAGAATAATCTTTAAAAAAGAAAAAGAAATGGAGGTTGAAAGTAATTCAAAAAGTTTAAATAAAAATTTCAAAAAAAAATTAAAAAACAAAAATTCATCAAAAATAATCTCAACTTTCATTTTGTTGCCTAAAACGGGCATTTCCGTTATCCCTCCGTTAGAAACTTAACGGCGACCCAAAACTGGCAAATTTTAGTAAAGTTGGGATTATTATGCATCACAGTGAAAGGTGGGATTATTTTTGAAAAACCGAGTAAAGTTGGGATTATTTTGGGTAATTTTTCCTTATTATTACGGCTTCTCGATAACTTGTACTCCGTATTTATTTGTATGTTTTCATTGATTATTTTATAAAATAAATATGTTATCATCTCTTGTTTTGTGGAATTTTTTATTTAACTTGTAAATATGTAAGTTGTAATTGTTTTTTTCTATACCATTCTATAAACAAAATAAATTTAAAAGTCATGAAATTTTACACATTGTTCCAATAGTTTAAATGAATTTGAAAGAGAGGAATCCAAGTATTAGGGAGTAATAAACATGCAGGGCAAACATAAAAAAACTTTGAGTAAATTCTATAAAAGGTCCTCAGTTATAGGTCGTTTTACGTATTTAGTCCATACATATTAAATATTACTAATTTAGTCCTCAATTATTATATTCATTTTCACGAATGGTCCTTTGTTAACATTTTCGTTAAGAATGTGGATAAAATTGTTAATTCACTCTTTTATCTCATCAATTAAGCTTCTTCCCTCCTCTTGCACTCATTTCCCAAACCCATCGCTGAGTTTGAAGCTTTGAACCCAAAACCAAAATCATCATTCTTCTCTCAATTGTTTGTCTAAACTGTTTATTTTAAATTTTTGATTTTGGAACCCTAACACTATGTTTGGTTCAAGGAATTTGAAAGGGAAAAGAAAAGAAAAAGAAGTGGAAAACCATTTTTCTTGTTTGGTTAGAGGGGAAAAGAAAGGGAAAAGTGGAAGGAAAAGAAAATGAGGAGACAAAATGTACCAAGTGGAGGGAAAACTAAATTCCTTCCACTTTGGTGAGGAAAATGAAAGAAAATCATTTTCTTTTCTTTTCCTTCCAAATTCCTTGAACCAAACATAGTATAAAGCTCCCAATCTGCCGTTCTGCTGCCCAGCCGACGCGACACGCGAGACCGCGACCAGTGGCGGATCCAGGATTTTAGCTAGTTGGGGGCACCATTAGTCGGGGGTCCGGAGACAAAAAAATACCAAAGTAATAAATTTTGTTTCGAACATTCCTGTTTTGACTTGGGAAGGATTTATTTTCGTAGTTTGACCTTCTAATTATATTTTTATCATCAAAGAAAAAAGAGACAAATTATTTAAATGACTTATTATATCAATCCAAATTGAATTGAGTATATTGCAACAACTTAATTTAGATATATTATTCATTTTTTACAAAAATAAAAGTGTTTTAAGGGAAAAAATGAAAGAGTAATTGTTTTAAGAAACAGAGGAAGTATGTAATAAAATAATATTTACTAAAAAAAATTAAATAAAAATTTTAAAATCATCTTAATTAGATGAGGTCTTATTAATTTTTGTTGGGGGCACACATACATAATATTTTTAAAAACATAATTTTAACTTAAAAAATAAATTTAGTAGGGGGCATTAGCCCCCAACTCTTATGAAGTAGATCCGCCACTGACCGCGACCTGCATCATCTATTCATCTTCTTCCCGTCTCCGGTCTCCGTCACTCCCGCGCGGTAAGGTAAAAACTTTTCTTTATTTTACTAAATTTAATTTTTATCATTTTATGGTAGTTTGAATTTTGTAGTTTGATATAGGAATATATGATAAGTATTTAGTAATATATAATAATTTATACATTTATTTTTTATTCATTACTTATTCATTAAAGAATCAAAGACTTTTCATCAAAAAATATTGATTTAGGATTGCAAGTGATCAATATTATTGTATTAATATTCATTTTATGTCTAATTTATAGAATTCAAAATGTAAAGGTACTTCAAAAAAGTAGCCAAATTTAAAGATTCAGAGTCGAGTAGAATTGGTATCTAATTTAAAGATGATGTAATTATAAATCACTTCCAAAGTATAAAAATTAGACGAGTACAATTGTAAACGATGTTGTTTTCGTATGACTTTATTTATATGTATTAATTATGGTACTCTTAAAATATTAGTTTTAATTTATTGTTAAATGTTAAGACTTATGAAGTAGTTTGACATGAGAATGGAAGGTAGTCAGGTAGGGAATCCCATGGCCTTAAAATCCTGGATCGCCTCTGTATATATGTGAGTAAA